TGAACTGTAGTTAACACACAATGTTATTAGATTCCCGTGTGCAACACAGTGATTTGACAAGTCTGTACATTACGCTGTGCTCACAAGTGTTGCTGCCATGTGATGTCTTACAACTTTGTTAAAATACCATTGACGCTATTCCCTGTGCTGAACCTTTCTTCCCTGTGGCTTATTCATTCCATACCATCCTTTTTAAACTTGCCCTCCTTCTTATATTTACCTCCACCAATTCTGCATGCTTTCCAGATTAAACTTTGTGAAACACTTTTCTAAGAAAGCAAGCCACCTCTTTTCTTAAATAGCTTTAGTCACCTTACAATCCCTAAACTCCTTTTTTTTTTTTTCTTCTGATATATAAGGCCTCCTTTTAGAATGAAAAGCATTTCATGGGGCGCCTGGTGGGTCAGTCGGTTGAGCGTCCGACTGCAGCTCAGGTCACGATCTCATGATTTGTGGGTTCGAGCCCCGTGTCAGGCTGTGTGCTGACAGTTCAGAACCTGGAGCCTGCTTCGGATGCTGTGTCTCCCTCTCTCTCCCCCTCTGTCTCCCCGCTCACGCTCTGTCTCTCAAAAATAAATAAACATTAAAAAAATTTAAAAAAATGAAAAGCATTTCACTTGACATCTCCCTTCTTTGTCTTTGAGGGATCTGCACCTTGGAATAGCACAGAATTATCCTTTTGTGCATAATCAGTGATTCTAGGTGTGCGGGAAGGTCAGAGCATGGGGACATATGTAGCTGATGGTCAAAACCTGTGATGTTAGGATTGTGTCTTATTTACTCGAATCCTTCGTTTCTAACATATCTGGCATATATTTGATAAGTATGCATTCCGGGTAAACCACAGTACCTGGAACAGAACTTTTTTCGTAACAGTTCTCCAAAAACACAGCTAGGCTTAGCAAGCGGTAAATAAATGTAAGACCTCAAAAATGTATGAATTGCAAGAATTCCTCTTCATCAGTGAGGCCGTATTGTCACTGGTGTTTTCTGTTGCATATCAAGCCATGGGTAGCTCAGTCTGGGGAAACTTACTGACTTACCATTGTTTCTGCATCTCAAAGACTGGGATTTAGCATAAAACATTTGGGAGGAGGAATTCCAAGGAAAAGCAAAACCGTGCCTGGGGAAATGTCACTCGCCGAGATTCGATTAAGAAAAAATAAGGAGGCGGTTTTCCTAGCATTTCACTTGTCACTTTTATTTGTCAATAAAATGTTTTTGAATTTTCCCAGTCTTTAGAACAACCGGCAGCGGCCGCGGGGATGTCTGGGGCCTAAGCTGCCTGGCTGATTATCTCAGCACTGACCTGTAAGCAGCCCCCTCTGGGGTGAAATGCAATTGAGTCTCCGTATTAACTCCAGTCCTGAGCAGCTCCCCAGCAGTCTTGGTTATCAGGCTCAGAACACATTGAGTTAAGTAGGAAGGAGCTCGGTGGGTAATAGTTTTGTGACGCAGATGACTATCAGCAAGGCTAAGCCGAAAATGACTTCTCTGGGGCTGCCCGGGATAGGAAAATCGGGGTGAAAGTTGAGGTTTTGCTGCAAGGTTTGGTTTTCTATCCTCTGGAATGGTCTTGCTCTGTGGGTTAAAGGCCACCGCTGTACTCATGAATATATACTATTTCTGGCTGCTGTAATTGATTAGCTACACTTTGCGGCTAGCCTGCCAGCTTCCATTCGAGGCCTGAGGGGCAGTACAGGATAGCGGAAACGTCGAAGCTCTGAGTTATCATTGGCCACGTGAAAACAGACAGCGACCCTGACAGCAATACAATACATATGAAACGGAGTGAATTTTGAACGGCTGTCTTTCTGGCGCTTCCTCGTACGGCCTCCATGTTGGTTAGATTGCTCTAGATTTTTTAATTTTTTATTAAAAATTTTTTTATTAAAATTTTTTAATGTTTATTCATTTTTGAAAGACAGAGAGAGACAGAGCACAAGCAGGCATGTGGTGGAGAGAGAGGGAGACACAGAATCTGAAACGGGCTCCGGGCTCTGAGCTGTCAGCACAGAGTCCGACGCGGGGCTCGAACTCACGGACCTCGAGATCATGACCTGAGCCGAAGTCGGGCGCTTAACTGACTGAGCCACCTGGACACCCCAGACTGCTCTAGAGTTTACAGGGAAAGGACTCTGAAACCCTCAATCTTAATCTTTCTTAATTTTGCCTTTATCTTCATTTATATATCTAAGCAGATAGTCTTATCCATGTGGTAGGAAATGGATTCGACATCTAACATGGTATGGCCTTAGTCCAAGACCTGGACTGTGGGGAAGACTACATCGTGTTGAATCCCAGCTTTACCTGTTAGGAGCTGTGTGATCCTGGGTAAATTACCACACCTGTCTGTGCCTCAGTATTTTCATCTGTAACATGGAGGTAATACAATGACTGCCGTCATGGTTGTTCTAGTACCAAGTAAGTTAATAAATATCAAGTACTTCCCTGGTGCTTCCCACATTGTAGACCTTATTCTGAGTTTTAGTCATTAGTATTATCTGAAATCACAAGAGAATAGGAGTGTGCCTGTCTACAACGTAAAGCTTGGAATTCATGCTGATGTTACCTTTCCATCCTCGACCCCTATTTGTGAAGGGCTTTCCTCTGTGTTTGCTTGCGCACACAGGTAATTTTTTCTCTGGGGTTTGATAACTCTGCTGTCTTAGCTGATGAGCAGCTCTGCAGATGGAGACTTCGTTTGCCCTTTCACTTGTTCTGTAAATAAGGAGCGGCTAGCACAAGCAGTGTGTATTTCTAAATACCGCTGTTTGTAACTGTATTTTTCACTAAATAAAAGCACTGGCTTTTTGAAAAAAAAATTTTTGTTTTTTGAGAGAGAGAGAGAGAGAGAATGAGCGAGCACAAGGAGGGTAGGGGCAGGGTGGGGTCGGGGGGAGAGAATCCCAAGCAGGCTCCGAGCTGTCAGTGCAGAGCCTGATGCGGGGCTAGATCTCACAATCTGTGCCATCATGACCTGAGCTAAAAGCAAGAGTCGGACGCTCAACCAACTGAGCCACCCAGATGCCTCAAAAACTGTGGCTTTTATGGGAAGTCTTTGCGTCGTGTTGCTGGGAGTACAAAACTGCATGGATACTCCTTAAGTGTCTGAGATAGATACCAGCCACCATCGATCATGGGGCTCTTGTTTGTAGGGCTGTAGACACATGCTTTACAAAGCATGTCTCCTGGAGCTCTCAAAACCTCTTTGTGAAGTGGATGGCATTATCCCCACCTTAGAGATGGTGAAATAGAAGCTCAGAGGGACGAAGGTACTTAACAGGGTCACACATCTCTGTCACCTAGGTCTGTTTGATTTTTTTTTAAATTTTTTAATGTTTATTTTTGAGAGAGAAGGAGAGAGACAGAGACAGAGCATGAATGGAGGAGGGGAAGTGAGAGAGGGAAACACAGAATCCAAAGCAGACTCCAGGCTCTGAGCTGTCAGCATAGAGCCCTATGTGGGGCTTGAACTCACGAACCATGAGATAATGACCTGAGCTGAAGTCAGATGCTTAACCGATTGAACCACCCAGGCGCATGTAGGTCTATTTGATTTTGAATCTTACAGTTTGTTTTACCACACTGCACTGCCGCTCTTCCTGTTTTTGTCTCAGAATTGGCCTTACTCCGGATACTGTGCGTTGATTTATTTTTTCCTTCTTGCCTTGTATTGCTTTGGTGATGGTTTTCAGCAACAGACATAAACATCAGAGTTCAATGAAGGTAGTTGACTTTAGTTCAGAAAACTAAGCCCAGAGACTTTCCTTGTGGTATTAGTGAATGAAATCATTGTTAACTTAAAAAAAATTATTTTGCTTATTTATTTATTTTTAAGTTTTTTTAAGTTTTATTTATTTATTTTGGGAGAGAGACAGAGAGTGAGCAGGGGAGGGGCAGAAAGAGAGGGAGAGAGAGAATTCCAAGCAGGCTCTGTGCTTTCACTGTGGAACCTGACGTGGCGACATTTGAAAACGTTCTAGTAAATGGGAGAAATTAGGGGCACCTAGGTGGCTCACTCGACTCTGACTTCGGCTCAGGTCATGATCTCAAGGTTCGTGAGATCGAGCCCCACCTTGGGCTCTATGCTGACAGCTCAGAGCCTGGAACCTGCTTCAGATTCTGTATCTCACGAACCGCACGATCACGACCTGAGCCGAGACCAAGAGTTGGACGCTTATCCCACTGAGCCACCTAGGTGCTCCTAAAATGATTTCTATTTAAGTATATAGTTGACAAAATGTTACATTAGTTTCAAGTGTAAAATGTAGTGATTCGATAAGTCTGTAGGTTATGCTGTGCTCACCACAAGTGTGGCTACCGTATATCACCATGCAACAGTCTTATAATCCGATTGAGTATATTCCTTATGGTTTGCCTTTATTTTCCTGTCCCTGATTAATTGTGTAACTGGAAGCCTGTATCTCCCACTCCTCTCACCCCATTTTGCCCATTCCCCCCTGGCAACCGGCAACCACCAGTTTGTCTGCTGTGTTTATGGGTCTGTTTCTGTCTTGTGTTTCTTCCTTTGCCTTTTTTAGATTCCACATATGAGTGAAATTGTGTGGTATTTGCCTTTTTTGGTCTGACTTATTTCACTTAGCATTATACCCTCTGGGTCCAATTGATGGTTAAACTTTGAAGCATCTCTCCAAGTCACCTGTCATGGCTACTAAGAAAGCTTGTTTTTTGTTTTTTGTTTTTTGTTTTTTGTTTTTTTTTTTTGTTTTGTTTTTTTGCTTCAGGCTCAAATACTCTGATGACCTGAGAGTTAGCGTACCCTAGTCCCCACTGTGCTGAGAAGGTAGCCACAGTGATGGAGTGAGGTGAGAGATACAGGCTGAGCTTTTCACAGCACACAGAAAAACCCATAGGCTCTTCTAGGACGCCCGTGGGTGTTATCACGAGGAAAGAAGATCTGGAAATGACTGTTTATCAAAGCTGTGATTGAAGGAGGGAGTGCTTCTCAGTTCTTGTCTAACTTTTCATTTTCACAGTGGCTACACAGCACGGTGGTTTAGAACCATTGTTGGATGCTGGAGCCAGTGGGGTGGCTTCCAACAACAGCTGGACCTTACTGACCAGACGAGTGTCGTTGGGCAGCAACTTGACTCATTGACTCTTCACCAGAGCCCTATGAGGTAGGTACTAGTATTATCCCCACTTCACAGATGAGGAAACTGAGGTGCACGGAGAGTTTATATGGCCTGCCTAAGGTCACCCTGTCCGAGCCAATCGTTTAAATTGGGGCCTTGGTGTACGAGAAGCCAGGATGAAAATGGAAGCTTCAAGTGAAATGCTTTGTCCCTTTTCCCGCCGTATCTCCCAGCCCCTTTCCGCATCTGTCATCAACGTAATTGGCTCTTGTCTTGACACATTTTCCTTCTCCCATGTCTCTGCGAGTTCCATCCGAACCCATCTCACTTCCTTCCAAGTGGGAAGCATCTGTTGCCAAGCCCGTGATACGGACTTGGAGGAGGAATGGAGGGGATGGTGGGGTGTCCCCTGGACGGAGAATACTGAGAAGTGCTGGCAATCCTCTCGCGGAGCTCTGTGACATCCGCTCGGCTCTATGTGCATGCCCTACCTCGGCTTCTTGTGCTTCATGGGTGATGGGGAGGAGAATGTTCCTCTGTCCTTCAAGGTTCTTTTAGCAGCGCTAAGAATTAAATTGACGTGAGACAGATTCACATGGGAAAATCACATTTGGTTCTGCAGGTACAGGGGCGCCATAAGAATGTGAGGTCCACAGGCAGTCAGGCAGTTGAGGCTCATGTGCCGTCCAGAGCTAAGGAGAAGCGGGGAGGGGTCCGGGGCTTCGGCGTCAAGGAGGACATTTCACAGGAAGCTGAAAGAGAGTAAGTGACTGGTAAACCAGTGTTTCCAGGGGCTGCCATAAGCAATGGAACATGGAGGAATTTTAACAAACAGATTTTGCTGGATTTCTCCCCATCTGCACACCTAGTTCTTCCTGGAGCAGGTCTTACATCCAGATTCTTTTAGGCAGTTAGGCGGAAGGGCAAGGGGCCTTCCTGAACCTTCTATTTCTTAAAAAGAAGCAGGCTGAAACAATGCATATGCCAAGGAGTCACGTTTTGGTTTGGCAAACTTTGCTTCCATCCGATATGCCTAAGAGTCACCTGGAGATACTGTGGAGATGAAGAGTCTGATTCAGTGGGTCTGGGGAGGGGCCTGGGATGTGTATTTATTATTTTTATTTTTTAACGTTTATTTATTTATTTTTTTTTAATTTTTTTTTTCAACGTTTATTTATTTTTGGGACAGAGAGAGACAGAGCATGAACGGGGGAGGGGCAGAGAGAGAAGGAGACACAGGATCGGAAACAGGCTCCAGGCTCTGAGCCATCCGCCCAGAGCCTGACGCGGGGCTCGAACTCACGGACCGCGAGATCGTGACCTGGCTGAAGTCGGACGCTTAACCGACTGCGCCACCCAGGCGCCCCAACGTTTATTTATTTTTGAGACAGAGAGAGACAGCATGAACGGGGGAGGGTCAGAGAGAGGGAGACACAGAATCTGAAACAGGCTTCAGGCTCTGAGCTGTCAGCACAGAGCCCGACGCGGGGCTCGAACTCACGGACCGCGAGATCATGACCTGAGCCAAAGTCGGATGCTTAACCGACTGAGCCACCCAGGCGCCCCTGGGATGTGTGTTTTTCACAATCTCCTTGGTGATGCTAATTCCGCAGGGCCCTGGCTTAAGTTTTGAGTATAAGTGCTACCTCATCTCTTTTCCCCAGAAGAAGGGACACATGAATATGGGTGAGTCTGATGTCTGGGAGATTCATGTCAAAATAATGAAGCTACATAATAAAGATCTCAAATGAGAAAAAAAGAAAAACCAAACAAACAAAAGAAGGGACACACATCAGTTACTTACGCGGTGAGCATTCAGGGCATTTCAGGACTGTAACAGGGAGCATGGCTAGGTCCTCCTAGAATATCCTGCTAATGAGAATCACGATTTATTATGAGTCCTAATGAGCCCTAAGCTTCCCGTTAGTGGGCTCTTAAATTCTCCCAGTTTGTGGGGGTGGGGATGTGTGGTGATGGGGTGATGTGTGATTGGACATAATGCATGCCCACTGAGCTGTAGCTGTGCCCACTAACCCAGTCTCCAGGTCTAGGCGGCTGCTGTCCCGTTCCTGACCTTACCTCTGTTTCCTTCTCAGAGTTAAGTCTGTAGAATTCCAGCTCCTTGACTGGAGCCCTGACCACCTGCCTCATCTTGCCAGTCCCTCTTTTTTAAATATATTTTTTATTTTTTTATTTTAGAAAGAGACCAGGAGCAGGGGAGAGGGGCACAGAGAGAGGGAGAGAATCTCGGCGCAGAGCCCAATGTGGGGCTTGGTCCCACAACCCTGGGATCGTGACCTGAGCCAAAAGCAAGAGCCAGTCGACGCTCAACAACCTGAGCCATCCAGGCGGTCCTTGCCAGTCCCTCTTGTAACAGCACGTGACCTTGATCTTATTCCTTGAGACCCTGGCATTCTCCTCTAAGGTGGCCTGAAATGCTCACTTCTCCACTTGCCTGACTACAGCTATTATCACTGAGCTGTGAGGTTTGGTAATCAAATATTTTGCCCGACGTTCCAGAAGGGTGATTTTTCCAGTTCTGTCATTTTTATTAGTTGAATTTCATTTATAAGAAAGAGTTTCTCTTGTTAAGTGGGAATGAACTACAGGTTCCTCAACAAGAGCACTCTTAACAAAATTATCGTATCACTGTGGATTGATGTATTTAAATCTTTTAACCTTTTTATAATCTGTTAGGAGTCCCTATTCTTTTTATGTCCACATTGTCTCCAGTTTGGCTAGCGTGGGCCCTTTCTTGCTACCCCCTGTATCCTGTGGATATGTCCCCATTTCTCTGTGAGCCTTTCCTTCCTTTCTAGTATAAAATAATTCCGGCTCCCTTTCATTTTCCTTGCCACAGACATGGCTCTGACCAATTCTCCATGTAGATTCCTTCTAGAGGGAAATGGTTCGTATACATCAAGATCTGAGTACCACTGGGATGGCATTGCTTCTAATACCTTTGAGGGACAGAGCTAGCATATATTAATATGAACTAAATTGTTTAAAATATATTTCCAATTCAAATTTAATACTACAGGGTTTTTTTCTTACTCGATTTTGACTTGTTTTTCTTTTCTCTAACACTTAAAATTTTGGTCTCCAAAAAGATTAACCATTTCCTTCCTCATCCTGCAATGTACAGTAGCAAAATTTAAATACCGGTATTCTTACTATTTTAATGGCTGAGTTCAGTTTAAGATCATTTTGCTGTTCTCTTTGTCTTAAGTCCTTAACAAACAGATTGTACGTGCTTTGTGAACATCTCAGGGTTAAGAGCTATGTAAAAAATCCCTTGAAACAACTTTTTATGATTATTACCAATTTTATATGAAATTAGGTTTATCTGTTGATATCTGTGCCCAGTTGTAATTTTTTTTACTTCTTCATACAAATTTATTTTTGTTCACAGAAGTCATTTACACGGTTTGAAGTCGAAACTTTATTTTACGTTGTGAAAGTTTATTTATTTTGAGAGAGAGAGAGAGAGAGAGAACATGAGTGAATGCGCACCAGCCAGTGGGGCAGGGGCAGAGAGAGAGCGAGAGTGAGAGCGAGAGAGAGAATCCCAAGCAGCCTCCACGCTGTCAGTGCAGAGCCCGATGTGGGGCCAGTCTCACGAACTGTGAGATCATGACATAAGCCCAGGTCGGACATTCAGCCGACAGAGTCACCCAGGTGCCCCTCCAAACTTGATTTTAAAAACTACATTCTGAGAAAACCCACGTCCATCCCTTTAAACTGTAGCCCTTAGCAACCACTTTCAGTGGTTTGTGGTTTTTCTTTTTTTCTTTTCATTAGTTTAGACCAGAGTCCATTTTATCAGGGAATCAGCTTGTTATTTATATATTAGTTCTATTGTTTTTCTTTTTCCTAAGTCATTAAGTCCTTCTATATCTCGTGTTTTCTACCATATGCTTTATTGAATTTATTTTCCGAGTTGGATGTTTGATTTTCCTGCTTTTACTTTCCTCAATTGTAGTATTTAAAGCTATGAACATCCCTATTACCCATGTTATGTGAGGTTTATTATTATTATTTTTTTGGAAATTTTGCATTGATTTAATTTCTCCCATTTATTTTATACTTTTTATTAAAAAAACATTTTTTAATGTTTATTTATTTTTGAGAGAGAAAGAGACAGCATGTGAGTAGGGGAGGGGCAGAGAGAGAGGGAGATACAGAATCTGAAGCAGGTTCCAGGCTGTGAGCTGTCAGCACAGAGCCCAGCGCGGGGCTCGATCTCACAAACCTTGGGATCATGACCTGAGCCGAAGTCAGATGCTTAACTGACTGAGCCCACCCAGGTGCCCCTAGTTTCTCCCATTTAATAGAACATTTTCAAATGTCCTCTATGTTTCCCAGCCTGCTTTGCAGTTATGTTGGCCATGTGACTGGTTTTATCCAGTAGAGGGTGAACAGTAGTATGTTTCACTTCTGGATGAAGGCAGTGGAGTTGACAGTATTCCCCTGCCTATGTTCTTTCTCTTCTCTCTCTGAGTGGCTAGAAGTGAAAGACTCCATCATGGTGCAATTGTATAGGAAGGTTCCCGCATTTCTGATTTACTGCTCTGAGGAAGGGTTGGCAAACTTTTTCTATACAGGGCCTGATAATAAATATTTTTGATATGGGCCATACTATCTCTGTTGCAAAAACTCAACTCTGTTATTGTAGCCATAGGAATACATAAATGAATGGGTATGGCTGTGTTCCAACTAAACTTCATTTATAAAGATGGAGCCTGGCCAGATTTGGCCCGTGCATCATAATTTGTTAACCCCTGGGTTAGAGGAAAGACCCCCAGGATAGCTGTCCAAACTGCATTCGATCTCTTCAAAGATGACAAGTAAATTGTACCGTATTAGGTCACTGAGTTTTGGGATTGTTTGCTACAGTAGATAACAACATTTCCTCTAGAGGGAAATACAAGGAAGAATCTGAGAATCAGATTTAGTGATTTGCTCAAGAGCCATAGCTAGTCTTTGACAAACCTGTATCTACAC